CTCTTACTAAATCTTGACGGCTATACTGATTCCCACCTCTAATCCTGTCTTACCCGCCAGTAGACGAAAAAATAAGAATCCAGTCGAAACAAACAATCAACAATTTGTGTAGAATGAAGTTAATGCAACAACATGGCTCTGCAATATGAAATATTAGAGAAGAGCGGAATGACGCAATATGTGTAAATGATAATAAACTAACCGAAAGCAAATTTAAATTGACTGCTGGCTTGAAAATAAGGACTCTTCAATATTTGGATCCGCCGTCGGAGTTTTCTGCTGATTTTCTTGGTATCCTTTCGATCTGTCTTGCTGTCGCATGATATAATCAGTGAATACGTCCAACGTATGCATCAGTTTGCGAAAGAATTTTCGTTGATCCTGAATAATAACGATAAGCGCCTCGAGTGATTTCTGTGCCACTCACTTGAATGAGTAGCATTTGCTCTTCCAGCATATCCTTTTCTGTCACTCGAGGGTGCTTCGGCCGCCTGTCCCTGTCGTCCTCGCTGTCACTAAGAAAGTCGTCCTGAACACCAATAATATTGCACAGCGACCTTGATGGAGATGTGGATTCACCATGTTAGGCTCCGGCGAGAGCGAATGTGACAGTACATCATCATCCGGGGTTGCAGCCCTCTTTCTCTGCAATCGCAATGCAGATGTACAAGAGAAAAACCACAGAAACCTACTTTTCCAACAAAAGATTCCCCCTCCTTGAACGGGACTGTGGTGGGAGTATTGTCAAAATACTCCCACAAAGCTTGTTCTGTGGCGTTTTCAAAGGGGCTGGGGTCATTCTTGTTCGCAAAGGCGTTCTCTTCATTGAAGGAACGCCCCCCGCCCGTTTGCGCTCTATATCTGAAAGCACCCAAGTGAGTTATTTGCCTCGATCCAGAACTCCACAGGCTCACCTCTTCTCCGCGTTCAGACTCCGTTTATGAGCCATTCCTTTCTGAATGACTTTCGTTCGAATATAGTCGAAATGGTTTCGGAGCCGTTTCTCCGACAACTCAAAACCGAACTCCTCTTTGAGCTCGTTCAAGAGGCTTTTATATGCC